ACCATCCAACCGACGAGCCCCATAAGGCAACTAAAGACCCTCACCGATTCACCCATCCCCGAACACACCCACCGACCCAGCCGCCGAGCACGGCTTCACGAACCACCAGCCCCCAACCCACCAAGCCACCAACCCACGAAGCCACCAACCCACCAACCGAGAGTCACCACCATTCAACCAAGCAGCCAATCAAGTAAGCAAGCAAACGACAGAGTGATAAGCACGCTGCACACTAACCAAGCACCTAGCAACCACGCGACCAATGGAATCAGCGACCAATCAAGCAATCAGCAACTATCAAGCAAACAGACAAGTGCCGCACCATCACACCTCGATCGCCCCTCGCGACTACTTCACACACCCCCCAGTTCAGTGGCGAGAACACCAACCAAGTACCTAGCAACCACGCGACCAATAGAATCAGCGACCAATCAAGCAATCTGCAACTTACAAGCAAACAGACAAGTGACGTACCATCGCACTTCGATCGCCCAAACAGCCCACCATCAAAAAGCAATGCACCACAACAATTTACGAGAGCTGACTCCAATCTCTGAACGAGAGCTATACGTGGGACACGACTTAACAGATCAAGTGACGACCAAGCACATTGACAACTTCTGCCAATTGCGAGACAGCCAGGCACAAAGCCATACAAAAAAAAAATAAGAAGAAAAACCACACACAATCCATTCCGCGAACACAACAGCAACAGATCCCCCAACTAATGTCACCACTCAGCACACCCCACGACCCGGACAGCTCGTCCCACGCAAACGTGGCATTGAAGCCGACCTAACACCAAGAAGACACAAACCCCCCTTAAGCAGTTCAAATCAGAAAGAGACACATTCCAAGCAAATCGTTCCGTGCCCGAAAGAGCACCTGTAACACGACCATTTTAAAACTCGCGCCAGAGCACACGGACGGGCATCAACACAAGCCATCCTACCATCGATGCCAGACACATGGCTAAGCTTCTGAACAGCCGTCCACACACACATGTCACCGGAGCAGCCGCCCAATCGTTCCTTGCCGCGGGGAGCTCAAACGTTGCCTCTTGTCGAAAAACAAAGGTAGCAAAACACCACACATGCCCCCACAGCAACACCACGACGCGTCACGCGCCAAACCTGTGCCGGTTGAAGCAGTAAGAATCAACCGCGTCGCCAACGATCACCCAGCACACATACAGACCAGGCCCAAAGCCAGCTTCATCAAATCATATGAACAAACGCAACCATAAAGCCACCCGCTCGTTCAGGACCCAAGCATGCAACATTGCCAATGGCGACATGCCGCAACCCGCAAAAAAGACACGCACCCTGGACACGTTCACTGAAAACCCGGAAGACACTTGCCACGGTCACAAGTCACAGGAGTCCCCTTAATGAAGCATGCCCAAGAACGCCCCCCTCAAGCAAAAGCACGACTCCAACACACAGGCGATGCCCCAATGCCAGGAACCATCATAGCACAATGCGACCGTGCTTGGAGCCGACGTACAGTGAACCACCGCCACAAAACGGAGTGCTGCCCGCAGTTCAAGCGTGTCTGAGCACCAACACTCACAGCCGGAGGTAACAGCAGCCCGTAGAGCAGTGCTTGACAATCAACGCAGGCAAAAGCCATTGTCCACACGTCTACCACGCTCGGAAACAAAGAGTTATCTCCCGCGAAGCCCTGGAGCACCAAATGCCAACCAAGACGTGCTAGAAGAAATCCGACTGACGAGCTGAAATGCACGTGTTCATGGGCCAGCTCAAGCTAGCCCACCTATATCAGCAAGGTAACACCTCCATTTCCGTTCACCCAAATCAACACCAAGCCCCTAGAAGCCAACAACAAGCAGCTACACAGACACACACCCACACACACACACACACACACACACACACACACACGTACACGCGCACACACACACACACACGCGCGCGCGCGAGGGGTCAGCAAAGCCCCGGAGCAGAACCGGGTTCTATTTGTTTCATAGGCAAGAGTAGCATAGCTAAACCCCCGACCTCCCGCCCGAGTCCATCTGATGCAAACTGTGACATGTCAATGATTCAGCTCAAGAAAACAGACTTTTTTAAAGAACCAGCACTCCAATGTCTGCCAAGGATGATGTCCCCACAAGAAAAGACGACACGCCGACATTACAGCCTCTCCGCGACCCAAACATTCTACGAAGCATTCTAGAATTCAGTGCACTGGAATGGTGTGTCTGGGTCAACATTTGCAACGCACAACAATTATCGTCGAGCTACACCCAAAATGGCAACACTACCCGCCCCTGCAGAAGCGGAAGGAAGTCAACGTGCGCGCACTTCTTCGAGTCGATACTCCAAAACGAAGCATTCCATCAAGACGCCCACAGTCTCGCAAGCGCCATCGGTCATTACCTACAAGACCGGCATTTCATAGCAGCCTGGGAAAAACCATCCAGCCCCCTCCGTCACAGCACAGAACAAGGAACCGCTGCGCAGCAGGCCCAAGGCCTGTTCCTCTATTTCGCGACCTGTCTTCGAAACTTCGCCAGTCTGACCCAAACCAACCGAACCATACACACGGCAGTGATGCAAACAAAGCTTCCCCGGCACATGTCGAGACGTCCCACCAAGATGCTCGAAGCAGCGAGTGAAGTTGGTTCCGACTTCGAACCGTGGAATCCACCCGTCCTGCACTACAGATGGACCCATAGCCTTCCATCCGAGCAAACATCCTTCTACTCAATACCCCTCGAGAAACACGTTCAGATTGCAGGTGTAGAAACGGACGAGCCTCGATTCGAAGATACTCCGCTAACGACGTGGCTGCAGGCATTCGTCCCCTTAAATCAAAAAGTCAGATACCACTTCTAGCCCAACAAAACCCAAATGTGCACATGCCAATCTGATATCCTGGACCACACGCCATGGCGACAAGGGAGACGCCAGCAGCCGCGAGAGTCTCACCCGCGTGCTGCGTGCAACGCGAAGCACAAACAGTACAGACCAAAAACAAGGCAACGGGAAAACAGCGACTTGCTTGCACACACTTCACCCAACTCAAAAACAGTCACCTGCCAGCATGCTTTCGCTTGCCGCCCATGCAGACGCTCGCACATCTGCTGGCTCGCACAGCCAAAAACCTGTACCCGTACCTATAGATTGCCATATCAACCAAATCAGAGTAAAATCCTGTTTAGCACACAACCAGGAACCATACTAACAGGGCCAAGGCAGAAGCACCGAAACTCACACACAAAGCTGGAGACTCGGCATGCAGCAAGCTGAAACAGGAACACGTTCCCAAACCTGCCACCCACACTAGAACGCACCAGATCCACCGATTCTCTCATGGCACGACGCCTCACTGCTCCGAGGGTCCAACTCAGCAACAACTTCTCCGACCACGACGACGATCCCGCCTACAACGAAATCTTGGTCAGCATCAGATCCTGGGGCAACGGAGCCTTCGTCTTTCCGGATCTCGCGGAACGAGCCGACTGGCGAAAGCCGGAGAACACCCTATGGCAAGCTAGGGTCTTCCACCGAGGCCGGCGCTCGCTCGGATACATGATGCTGGACACCGCCAGAGCAGCCTTACGCGTGCATCCAGACAGAAGCATGCAGAGCCTCGAACAGCTCCAGCGGAACCACCACGTGAAGCTTCTGTCCGGTGGACCTCCATCAAGCGGTGACCCCGACCCTGACGGCATGGAATTCACCCCGTGGCAACCAGTAATCTACGCGGCCGCCGAATCCCCCATGCCCATACTGCAACTGCTGCAGTACCTGGTGAAACACCACTGCGCGTGCGGGCACTGGAGCCACCCCCCACCCCTAGTGATCCGCATACAAGAGTGGAACTGGACGGCGAAGCCGCCGCTACCATGGACGCTCCGCTGCCACCCGAACATGAACGACATCGCCTGCTTCCGTGCAGTCCCACCCACCACAAGACAACATGTACTCTGCCAACTCGACCGTGCCGCACACCCTCCCGGCGCATACATCCTCACACTCTTCGGAAATCTCTACCCGTACAGGCGACTTCTAAACAACGAAGACATCCCAGCCGGACACGTTCCGGCATCAGGCAGCGAAAAGAAAGCCACCTATGTGAGGCAGATGCACTTCGACAGCTTCGACAGCAATGCAAGAGAGAGAATACAAAGCCTCCTCATCAACGCCCTGTGCAGCTTGCCCGTCTACTTTATCGACGCAACGGAAGATGACTCCGACGAGTTCGCTTCTTGGATGGCCCGTCAGAAAAGTGTCATCCTAGCCGAAACGCACATGTAAACAATTCACGAAAAGCACTCGACGATTCGATCTTGTCAAGAGACCTCCAACGCGGCAAGGAGCCAAAAGGAGCCACGCAACACATATTGCCACGATCAAGGCACATGAACACTTAATAAGACCCAAACACAGATTCTACAACATGCCGACAACAAAACGAGGAAAGCTCGCACTTGTCGAGAGACACCCGGCACAGCAAAAGACCAAACTGAGCGACGCAACACACATTGCCACGATCAAGACGTGTGAACAATCAGACTAAAACACAGACTCTACAACATACCAACAACAATATAAGAAAAGCTCACAGTAGACCGCGTTGACTGCAAGCAAGCAAACCAGCTCGTACTCCACCAGACCGAACTCGAGAAGCAACAACACAACACGAGCACGACAGATTAACTTTATGCGGAGAAGCCACCACGTCCAAGCGCATGTGCACGGTGAAAGAAAGAAACAGAGAGAGGGAGATAGAGAGAGAGACAGAGAGAGAGACAGACAGAGAGAGAGAGAGAGAGAGAGGGGGACAGAAAGAGAAAGAAAGACATAGGAAGAAAAAGGAAAGCAAAACCAAGCTCAGCAGAAAAACTTAAGCATGCACTCAGACAGCCAAAACGCAGCCGAGCTTATCGGCACAGTGAAGAACACATCTGCACCGCTACGTGGCAGTTTTCAAAGGCGCCCGACCGAGCCAGGAGACCACTTCCCGCCAACGCCATGCCGAAACGACGCTTCCAAGCCCACGAAGTCGCACTCCAAGAGCCTCTCACGAAGCGAAACAGCAACAACACCGACCCAACAGCCGGGCGCTTCCTCCTAGCCACCGTGACTTATTGGGGCAGCGCGGCCCATTACTTCGACAACACGCCCACGACTACAAAGTTGTGGCAAATGCAAATCGATCACGCGGGCTACAACAACTTCAGCTTCAAGCTGCTCCAGGTCGTGAATGATACGCTCCGCAACTACCCCGACCCGAATATCACGGACTTGAAAAGCCTGGAGCAACACATGAAAATACGAGTTCTCAACGGTGCCCCCAGCCAGCAAAAAGAAGACAATGACCCGGACGGCATGCAATTCAATCCGTGGCGACCTGTGCTCTACGTGGGCAATGAGAACCCCAACCCACTCCTGGATCTGGTGTATCGAGTGCTTCAGCACAAAGTGGATTCAGCACATATCCTCGACATGCCAGCACTTCAAGTGCAGTCAAACTGTTCGCACTGGAGCCCTACGCAGGAAGACCTACCACAACCGTGGCAACTATTGCGCACAGAACCAGAATGGATGCCGAACATATTCAGAGTCTTGCCTCCCAGAGGACGAAGACACATCGTGTGCCAACTCGAAGCTGCCGAAGACGAGCACTACGACCTGATGTTTCTGGGCGGACTCTATATTTTTCGGGACAAATTCGACGCACAACAGGTCCCTTACGGATTCCACAAGACAGCCGATCCAACGGAAAAGCGAATTTACGTCCGCCTTCTCAAAGTAAAGAACGACCAAGAAGGCAAAGAGAAAGTACTCAGGGTTGTCGACAACGTTCTGTACCACATGCCCGTCTACTTCTACCACTACATCGATGACAAGAAAGACCCCATGCTGACCTGGCTCCTTTCTCTAGGCCCCTTCCGACTCAACCCCATCCCGTTGGACGACACCTGAGCGCAAGCACAGATCACCGGCACAAGTGCACGCAGAAGACGTCACCAAGTGCACAGAAGTTTTGACGACAAAAAAATCAGTGCCCACAGCTCCAGCCCCCACCCGAACCAGCCAGCAGACACATACAAGCACACAGCCAAGCAAGGTTTCAGTCACGGCCTGCACCGCTCACGCTCCGTTACGCAGCATAAACAACAGACAGCAACCCCGTAGAGGCACACCAGAATCCGGCATGCGAGCAGCCATGGCAGACGGGACCCCGAACACCGCAAACGTCCCACAAGACCCCAACCACGCGTTAGTTGCAGTCATGACTTTCTGGGGCATGGCCAATGCTTGGTTTCTCAATAGCTACAAAGACGAGCCCCTCTGGCAAGTACACCTGGAGCAGTCGCAACCGAGCTATACGCACTCCGCCATCCTTTCCGGTATACAAAAGTACCTGGCATCAGGACAACACGGAATGCATGAAGTCAACGACTTCCGAAGCCTCGAAGAGCACGCCTTCATCACCGTGCTGAATCACCTGCCAGAAACCAGCGACGCGCAGCACGCAGAAAGTTCGGACAACGCACCAGGAAAGCCCGTTTTCTACGTGCATCACCGGTCCCTCGAGCAGTTCTTCCGATTACTCCGAGACACCCTACGGTACAGAAGCCAGCGCAAGCAAGGCAAAAAAAAGCTACCAAACTTGCTGCTCCATTGCAACAGTCCCAAAAACGTGGCCAATCTACCAACTCCGCCCGAGCCGTGGATTCCACTGAAGCACAGCAAACCCAACACCAAAGTAGAAGACATATTCAAGCTGCCGCCTCCAAGAGGCACTCGCCACACCAAATGCAACATCACGAAAAAGAACGGCAAGTACATGCTTACCTTCCACGCCGGCCTCTTCGACCAGCCCCAGATGTTTCGACGAAACTCCTACAAGACACACAACTACGAAGCCGGACTCGTCCTCTGCGTAAAGAACAACTACAAAGGCCGCGTCAGCGTCATCAGCGCGGTCAGAGACATACTGCAAAACGTTCCCATTTGCCTTGCACATCGACTCAAGAACCACGACGATGACTTCCTGCTGTGGCTCCTCACGCAGGAAACGCTATGTCTCGAGCAAAACACGTAACATGCCTCAGGCACAGCAGAAGCGTCGCCTGCAACCACAAAGATAAAAAAATGCAAGGAAACGCTGCTGGAGGTCTTCGCAAGACACAAACAACACCGCGACCAAACAGGCATCCAGAAACGTTCCACACCACCAGCCAGCAATATAGCCGCATACACCTTGCCGCACGGAACGTACTGCTCACAGTGCACGACCGAAGCCAGCTCTCAAGCAGCATGAATCATGAACCACCCACACAAAAGTCACGTACACAAGACCCGACAAACACCAACCACAGCGCAATCCACGCCAAACAAGCAGTCCCGACAGCAAGCGAGCCACTCCCCTTAAGCCCAACACGCAATGCACAGTAAAGTGCCACCCCTGAAAAACGCCAAGATGGCCCATCCACACGGTCAAGGATCACTGCCAGTGCGGTCTCTCGGCAACCCCCATTTGCAACAGCTCAAGCAAGCGATCGACACAGTCTTAACATCACTGCAACACCATCACCGGAGAGACACCTGTATAGCGTGCTCACATCAAAGATCCTCCAAGTACTACACGGATGCCGGCCGCGTCGTCTACCAGCGAAGCGGGCTTTGCGAATACTGCTACGACACCATGATCATGCAACGACCGCACAACCACCTGGGTCGACTCACACCGAAGGGCGTCCAGGTGCTCCGCCTCCGCGAAACACTGAATTGCAATCCTTTCCGCATCGATTTGTTCCCTCAGCAAGCACACCTGAGCCACGAAATCCTGTCCCAGGGAATTCAACCACAAACACTGCTGCAGCAGTGCCCGGACAGGATAGTCCAACATGCTTCACAGAACCCACCCATCGCCATAACGCGAATATAACTCTCTCACACACACACACGAAGCACATTGACTTATGGCTCCAGCAAATTCAGAAGCAAAGCTCGATCAACGACAGCACCGCTGCAAGAGAAGCCGCCCCGTCACAGCGCATCCACGCCTTGACAGCTCCGCACCACAGCCCTCGCCGCACCTTTGGCCCAAGCACCCAAGCCTCAATTCGCAAGTGAACTAGCGCATTCCAAAAAGAAAGTCCGTACAGCCGAGCACTCATGAGCAAAAAGATCCTGCACGTGCGCGTCTTCGAACAAAAAGAGCTCACCGCTCTCAAAGATGCGATTCACAAGAAGCTCCAAGTCGCGAAAAACGTGCGCCAAAACACCTGCATCTGCTGCAATCGCTGCGAGGCAGAAGGCACGCACTACTCTCCCGAAGGTTTGACAGAATACAACCGCACCGGCATCTGTGAACACTGCTGGGACGTGCTCGTCGACGAAAGCAAAACCGAAGACAACCCACGCTTCGAAAAACTCACACCAAGTGGAGTGGCCGTCGTGCGTCTAAACTTGATAGTACAACGAGTCATTTCACATCTATCCATGCCAATTCGACCAAGCAGCATCTGCGACCAAATCATCAACGGCACCTTCGATTTCAGCACGCTTTACACCAACAGCTTGGAGCACCCACATCCAGCTTGATGGCATCAGCCCTGTACAGTCGCGCCCGGCCCTTCGACTCGCACAGCAATGAATGAACCACCCGCAAGCAAAAGAAAAGACAGACAAGAAGTGCGACCGCGACCGCCACCATCCCAACCGACTTGTGCACCCAATGCGAAGACCAAGATCATAAAAGACACAGCAAGAAGAAGAAAGACTATGAAACAGACACTACAAGAGAGAGAGAGAGAGAGAGAGAGAGAAAGAGAGAGAGAGAGAGATAGAGAGAGAGAGAGAGAAAGCGAGAGAGAGAAAGGGAAAGAGAGACAGAGAGAGAGAGAGAGAGAGAGAGAGAGACGGAGGGAGAGAGAAACCAAAGAAAGAAGAAGAGAGAGAAAAGGAGAGAGACCAACAATTGCAAACAACACTAGAAAAAACATGGAGCAGCTGCCGCAGCAAGTCCGGATCAGCTCCAACGACACGAAACAACACACACATGCAAAGCTCTGACGCTACCACATGCTCAAGAAGCTCATCCACACAACAGCCCGCGACAGACATCAGGAAGTCATAGAACATCCTTCCACTAGAATCTCGACCCAGCAGGACAACAAGCCAGCCTGCAACATTCGAGTGCCAGCTCACGACATGTGACGAAAGCAGCTGCGCCCAAGCCAACGTGACTCGAGCACCACGATGCACCAGGATGCAACTCGGAGCAAAGTACAAAATACGCGCATCAACGTGCGACCCACAGACAGAAATTGACGGACGACAGAACGACAACGCACGAACCGGCTGCCGAAGCGCCCTCGCAACAACCCAGAATCAGCAGCACCAACCCCCTGTCCACCCCCCCAGCCCACAACCACCGACATCCTCACTCGCACCCAGGAAGAAAGCGCCTCAACCACGTCCGGCACCTTCTCCAGCCAGCAGTTGAGCAGAAAGGAAAAATCCGAAGAAGGAGACGAAGCCGACGCCCGCAGCTTGACCACTTCCAACCACGACGCGCAACCGCACGGACCTGTGCCAGACAACAAAGACCACCCAGACATCGGCGACAGCATCCTTACTTTATACTCACAGACCCTGAACAACATCTTGGCCCAGAAGCAGCACATACTCGTCGTCGGCACCAAAACAAGGCCAAAATGCATCTGGCTCGCAAGCGAAGGTTGCATCAAAGCAAGAGCTACCATCGAACAAGTGAGACGCATTGACGGTCAGGAATTTCACGAACTCTACAACCAACACCTCCAACTGGACCCACCCGATTCCCAAAACTTCTACGCGCTCGCGATCACAAACGTTCGCCGAACCAATATCAACTTCAATTACTACCAACTGATGCCCCCCTCCCTGTTCACACGGTACCGCACTGGACCAGACGACCTGTGTCCCATCAGCAGGAGCTATCGCAAACGCAAGGAAGCTGAAGAATACGCACAACGGCAACTCGCCCTGCCAGTCCAAGACGAGCAACACCAACCCACCCTGCCAATCGAAGACGCACCCAACCCAGAAGCCACTGCGCCCGCAAAAGTCGGACGCGACGAGACGAAGAACCACGACGAAAAGGGACAGAGCTAGACGAACGCGTTGCAAGTGAAGCATCAGTGCAAGAAGATCGGACATGCAGTATCACAGTTATCACCGGTTGCACCCATACTGCACATGCGTAGCTGCTGCTACCCTCACAACCTCACGGTCAACAATTCAGCACGACAGCATGGCACAGCAAAGCTACAAACAGCGCGGCTGAGCCCGCCTCCGACCCCCCGCACCCCCCCCCGCTAAGCGGTTCAAGTGAACAGACATATGCACGGTAGTCTCAGACCCCATTCCAAGCGCACGTTGTTGCGACCCGACCTAACGAATAGCCATGCAAGACACCAACGCAAGCGCGCCCCACGACAAACCCGTACCGGAGCTCGAAGACGACGCCGTACCAGCAGACGGGGACCGAATCATGATCCTCAAAGCCAAGTGGCTGTCCATGATCCTAAACGGACAGAAAACCATCGAAATCAGAGGCCAACCTGCACGGGCAGGCCTCATTTGGTTCGGACACAATCAGCTGCTCCATGGCAGGGCCTACATCACACACACCGAAAAGCTGTCCGTTACGACCTTCCGGCAGATGCAGCACCAACACGGACTGAGCACACACGTGCTGCCATACCAGCGGACGCACGCACTGCACATGGCAGACATCAAGCGCATGCGCAGCCCGCAGCCGTTTTTTCACCCGAGAGGCGCCGTGGGCTGGGTCAGATACCGCAACAGACACCAAGCCGGAGCGCCGCAAACGCAAAGAATCCAACTGGAGGTCGCCAGCTCCGCTCCACGCAACCGCAGACGACCACCGAAGCAGGTGTCCGACAACCAAAACGAAGCAACCACGAGTGCCGCCTCCCCGCAGCGCAGCCAAAACGAATCAGAGCCACAGGACGGAACCAAACCAAACAGGAAAATCAAGAACCGCAAATCACGTCGGAAAACTGCTGCAAACTAAAGCCAATCCAGCAACGTCGTTGGCACAGCGCCGCACCCACGTCTCAGCGAACAGATGTCTCGGCAGCCTTCGACAGAGGACACCGAACCTCTTCCACATCCGTGTTAGTTGCAATCGTCCTACCAATCGTCATCACGTCACTGCTGGAACACCTAGACGCGTGGGCTCTGCAAGACTTCCTACAGGCAAGCAAAAGCACGCACGACGCAATGCAGCACCAAAGCCTTCGGAAAAGCGCTCAAGCGCTTAGATGGACCTTAGAGATTTTAACGTTCGACATCCACCTTCCCGGTCTGCCAAGCGTCTACAGCATCAAACTCATTCCACAGCACCTGTTAGACCGAAAATTGCTGCACCATTCCTGCGGCACCTCCGTCAAAACGCTCACGAATAGCACAGCCGCAAACCCGACCGGTCACAGCAGCCGACACATGCAGGAACTCCTGCGGCAGGGTCGAGCCAGTACATTCGCGGAGCTCGTCAGGAAAACAAACCCATCCTGGCGACACGATGCTCAATTCCAAGCATTCCTATATTTCCTCGACGACGCCCACACCACCATCTCCTACATGCCGCAGTTCAGCAAGAGCGAATACCATTTCCGCGACATCATCAGCCCGGCCCGCTTACAGCTGAGCTTCCGATACCAGAACCACGCGGGCCTCATCCACGCAGAGTGAAAGGAGTGATGCACCCTCGCAAAACGCAAGACGCCGCAACCAGACCCGTCGCACAGCCGAAAAGCATGAAAAGACACGAGAGGAACAGTAAGAGAACAAGGGCTCCCGCAAAAAGCACAGCCAGCACCAGTAACATGTCCTGAGTGCAGCCTCCGTAGCCGCATGCGGATCGAACAGCAACCCAAGCAGACGACAGCGTTGAAACGCACAAACCAACTAGAGCACCGAAACGCGCCACAACACTGTCGTACCAGATCAAATACCCCAAGCTACACCACAAAATCACGACTGCACCACCCACCGAGCGCAAGCAAAAGCACATCCCTTAGTAACGGACCGTTCCAGAAACAAACCTAGATGCACATGAACACCGCGCCCACCACGCGCGACGCCGAAGACAGCGACCGGAAGACAACCAGGAAGCAACAAGAAGAGCAAACACCCAAGGCTCCGACGAAAGCACACACACACACACCAAGCTCTACAAACACCCGACACCCAACCAACGCCTCCGTCGTGCCAGGACAGAGCGGAAGGGAGCAGCTCTCCACTCAGCATCCTCACGGCTTCCACGATGACACGAGAAGCAAGCGCCCGACGGCACGCCGCCGAAAAGCACAAAAGCCAGCAAAGTTCAGGACTGACCCAGTTCCACGACGTCAGAATTCCCACTCCACCAGCTCCGCAATTTCACATACAGACACCCGACTCCTTGCAAACGCAAGTAGAAAGCCTTGTCAAGATCATGTTCGATCCAACTGCCCACAGCATCATAGCCGACGAGCAAGTTCGACACTGGCAGCTCTACCTACAAAACAAGACCTATGCCGACCCCTACTACACCTTCCCCAACCACTTCATCCACAACTGCATCTTCCACTTTGACGTAGCCCTGCACCGAGAAGTGAAATCCTTCATCGAGCTCTCCATCCATCACATCCAGGAAGACCAGGAGCAACAACCCAATACCAAGCTAATCGCATGGCAGCGCAACCTGCGTTTCCGATGCAAGATCCAGCCCTTTGCATTTTCCACTTGGCAACAACTGATTTACGACGTTGAGTTCGACGATCTCGCCAACTCTGTGGGCTTCACATACCGGCAAAAGCAGCACTAGCCCCTCACGCAAGGACGTGCACATGCAACTTCGCAACATGCACGTTCCAGCCAAGACGGCTCGAGTAAAACAAACCCCCGACCGCACAGTAATCAAGCGAGCCAGAAAACAAACGGAAGCAGCAGCAACCGCGATCTGTCGCTCACTTCAACCACGCGCGCAACAACAACTCCCTGCCGAGCTCCAACCACGAACGTGCTGCACTCGGATCAGAAACAAACCTGACCGCAAAAAAACAATAGCACTCACCGCGACACACACACACACACATGCACACATTGACACATCAACGCACACACACACACACCAATATGCATGGTTATACCAGCACTTCCACACATCCACGCGAAATATGTGCAAACAAACCTGACAACCGGGCGCATATAAAACACACCACAATGGACCTGTCGCTGTTTCCTCGATGAAACCAAGAGTACTAGAGGATCCAGCGAACAAAACACGCCACGAAACAACCGGCCATGCCCCAGCGCTACATGCACCTGCAGAACCTCCCTCTGCAGTGTGCAAGCAAGATCCTCAACTATCTCGCATTCCCCGAACAAGTCCCAACCTTGTCATCCTGCAACAGCTTCCAGAACGAGTTCCAGCACCGCTGTGACAAGATCCGCACACTGGCAGGCCATGTACGGGCATCACTCGCCCCGCTGCATACGCCCCTTCCACTCAGGCTACCTGGTTTTCTAACGCCAACGACCGTGTTAGTCGAAAGCAAGAAGAAGTACTACTCCACCTGTGGTGGCTGCGATACCGAACCCTGGCACTCGGGCAACCAGGAAGACCTTCACGAGTGGCTCGAGGAGATCGGCATAGGCGGTTTCTCACCCTCAGAATCGATCCTCATCTTAAACGCTTGGACAGTGCGGGAAGAAGGCATCCAGCTCAGCGACTTCTTGCGAGAAGCTTTCACTCGCTACTTCTACATTCCCCAACCACCCACACGCAACTACCCGCACAACGGCGCCGGCCTGGTCATCACGTTCGACTACCGCGGCTACGAAGGAATCATCTGGGCAGGCACGCTCGCCAATGACCGCAAACAACAGATCCGAGAAAACGCCGAGGCAACGACGCAGTAACTCAAGGCACACGACGCCCGATTCAAAACGAATCCATCCAACAAAACAGGGAAAACGCCTCGCAGAGTCTCGGCACACACGATTCAATCGTCAGAAAGCAGCTAAAACCAGTCCGCACAGAACCGAATCGCAACCACTTAGACCGCCCTTGCCAGAGGAACCCAACTAACAGACTCTTGGCAGCCATTCCCGGCTCACAGGGACTCCCAACCCTCACAAAGCTTCTCCGACATGACGCCAGACGCCGAAACAGAACCCTGCCTGACAAGCGCGGCGACCCAGGCAGTGAGAAAAACAAGCAGCAAACCACTTCCCACAGCAAGATGCTCGACGTGTCTATATAACGACACACACTCCGCGACTCTAGAGCACCCCCGAAATTGCACCCACAGCGCGCAGGCGGAAGCACAACCAGAACACGCAGAACGGAGCCCCAAGAGCACAGACACCACAGCCAGTTCCAACGACAAAGCGGACGACATTGCCCCGCACAAGATCAGCACCCCGAACGAGGAAGCACAACCAAGCAGCAACATCGTGTACAACAGAACGAAACTCCAGGAACTCGTGAAAAGGCTCGAGCAGGAAACTCGGATCGAACCGCGCCGACAACTCGTAAGACAAGTCCGCAAAGAGCTGGACCTAAGTGACAAGGGACCACTCCCTCGAAGGATCTTTCGCGGAGACGACGGCACCATTGCCAAGCTCTGCAAAGACTTAGGGTGGCACGAAAAGAGACCCCACAGCGCAGCAGCAGAGCCAACGCCCCGAACTGACACTCGTGCCACCCGTTCCCGGGACCCACCGCCGAAAAGACACGAAAAGAGAAAGAGACGGGACAAAACCGATCAGGAACCCGATCTTGACAGCTGCATGCCATTGCCAGAAAACTCGCAGCACCAAAGTGTTCCGAACACCAAAGCAGCCGCTCCCAGCCAGATCGCCACCGCCAATACTACTACATGCTGAGACACACCGCCCGACTACGACCGTTCAGTCTGCCCACCAAGGCATGTTAGCAGCAACTACTAGCATGTTAGACCACCAACAAGATCTCAAAAGGACCTTGCCCGACACAACGCAGATGTCACGTGCATCCAGAAAAAAAGTGCTGTCCCAGTGCAATCAGTCAGTAAACAGACACGGCACCAAGTACAGCCAAAACCCCATGCCGTGAATATCAAAACATCAGACCAATCGCGACAGTGTGCAGGGCCCGAACCCCGTCAATTCGACCGGTACTGTTGCTCGCCACCTCAAAGCCATCATGAAACGACCAAGCACCCACAAGAACGGAAAGATCCGGGTACAAGTCTACACCGGCGCAGGAAACCTCGTAGCGGACCTTCACCTGCACGAAGCCACCACCATACGAAAGCTCAAAGCCAGACTAGCTCCGGACCTGGGAGTCTCCCGATTCCGACAGAAGATCCTCCGAAACACGCGCCTCCTCGACGACGACGACGCGATCCGAAAATCCACCCACCTGCAGGTCGTGCTATTGAACTACATCCCCACCTCCGCGAAAAACATCCGCCAGCTCATTGATGCCAGCTTCGAAGACTCCGAATCCGAAGTGGAAGAACTCCTGTGCAAACCACAGGACGTCAACGCGTCCATGCCCGGAGGGGCCAAAGTCAACACCGCAAACGGCGCAACCACCGCTCTCCAAGCAGCCGCGAGTGCAAACAACACGGACATCCTGAAACTCCTCTTCCAAGCCCATGCGGACGTGAACCGCAACGGCAACGATCGGGCAACTCCTCTTCCAAGCCCATGCGGACGTGAACCGCAACGGCAACGATCGGGCACTCTGGCACGCAGCAGCCCAAAACGCAAAGGAAGCCACGCGCATGTTGCTGCAACACCGAGCAGACCCGGACGCAACAGACCAGCACGGACGCAGCGCCTTACTCGAAGCCGTCGCTGGTGGCTTCCACAGCCTCACACAATTGGTGCTAGAGGCAAGAGCCGACCCGAATCAACGCAACGACCAAGGCCGGACGCCCTTCAACGTCGCTTGCCACAATAA